TCAATATACTCATCATAGGCATCCTTCAGTCTAGAGAGACCATGGTGACATGCTCTGAATTGAGGAGTGTCCTCTCCAGAGCATGAAGCCCGGGTAAGGTAATATGGAGGATAGGCTGTTACCCAAGCAGCAGATCCCCCCCTCTCCACATTGCTGAAATGGTCCAATGGAAAGGCAAGAGCCAATACAACTGGTTCCAGCAACATCGCAGGAGTTGGCAGAAGGACACGAGCTGCCTTCGGGACTCCAGCTCTGGATTTTGCCTCTAGGTTAACTCCTGAAGCCTTTTCCATGAGTGGATATAGCCACAAGGCAGTGGAGGTTTGAAATCGGAGTTTTCCTTCTCCTAGATGGGCTGCCTTCCATGGCTGACAAGCCCACCTACCCGGCCTGCTCTTTAATAGTGTGGAAATATGATCGGACCCTTAAAACTTTCCTGCCTCCCAGGCTTATGCAAATCTAATTGGATTTCCTATTTACCATATTATAGCCAGAGATAGAATTTGAGAATTTGAAATGTGATGAATATTGTATTCTCTTTAACTATATGCAATATAAATCAGCTTGGAATTGCTCCTTTTATGGACCACATGTTTCTCCCAGAATCCAGCCAGCTGGTTTGGCTTCCTAGGGAAAAGGGTCCAGGGTCCTGGGACACGCTCTTTTAAAGCAGAAAGCCCCATCCCTAGGCCCCACCCCCAGGCCATGTGGTGAGGAGACAAAAAGAACCCCCAGGAAAAAAAACTCAGCAAAACATCCATACAAACATACCTGGCCTTCACTTTCAGCCCAGCTTCCTAGGGGAAAGGGTCCAGGGTCCTGGGGCATGCTCTTTTAAAGCAGAAAGCCCCATCCCTAGGCCCCACCCCCAGGCCATGTGGTGAGGAGACAAAAAGAAACCCCAGGAAAAAAAACTCAGCAAAACATCCATACAAACATACCTGGCCTTCACTTTCAGCCCAGCTTCCTAGGGAAAAGGGCTCAATATACTATATTTAATGGATTTACTCTAGGTGGGTTCTTGAGTATCCAGAGTAGTGGTATTTAGGACCAGATGCACATAGTGTATTCAAAAACTGCTGTTTATGTTAAATGATTAGAACTGCAGAGCTGGAAGGGACTCTATGGATCATCAAGTCCAGTCCCTGTCAAGGAGACTTTTAGAGTATATATTTTAATTGTATTTTAATTGTTTTATCTTTTTTTTTAACTGTAGTTAAATTGCTGTAAGCCACCCAGAGAACTTTGGCTAGTGTGGGCGGCATATAAGTCAAATAAATAATAAATAAGGAGGCACAGTGGGGAACTGAACTCTCCGTCTCTGGCTCCACAGCCAGATACCTAAACCACTGAGCTATCTAATACGTGGAGAAGTTTTAGTAGGGAAGTTCCAGTCTCACCACTATCTAGCAAGCTCTGCTCATCAAAGGATATCAGTCAGATCCCCACACTTACTTTTGAGTAAGAACCCCCCCCCGATATAACTGTATGCAACACTGAAAGTAATGCACATTTTGTCTTTTTGACCATTATATCACACCAACACCAATTTGAATACCGTGTAAAAGTGTATGTCTTAATATTGGGTTTGCTTCCCATTAAGTTAGTCTAGATTTTCTCAAGAAATGGTGCATGTTAAAGAAGTGGTGCATGTTACAAATTCATGACAGAATGAGGTTACTGCCTCAGTGACTCACTGCCTCATAACTAGGTGTTTACACTGACAAAGCCACATGTAATTGGACTGCCACAGTTCTCCCTTTTCATTCAGCAATGTAACCTTTTAAATGTCATCTCAATGGAAAGCAGCTACCACAGTGAGTGACTTGAGTCTCTTTTGTTTGTGCATGTAGGTGTTTAATGTAGTGGTCTTCCGGTTCATAAAAGAAAAATAAAGCCCCTAAGATCAGCTGCATTCAAGTGCGTGTAATGAATGGGAGAGAGAAATTCATTGAAGAATTCAGGGCTAGTCAGTTGGAGAGAAGAGAAGCTGCACTCAGGTTCTGACACTGCTCCAAGCAGTATTGACTGCACCAAACACAGACAGTGTTTCAGCAAGATATTTCTGGTGTTTGCATCTGTATTTTATCTGGAAGTTGTATCATAGCAACTGGACTTCTTCCTTATTAAGTTGAAACATTTTGCTATTCATCCAAGTAGCTCCTTCAGTTTGAAGAAGCTACTTGGATGAGTATCAAAATGTTTCAACTTAACAAGGAAGAGGTTCAGTTGCCATGATTCAACATCCAGATAACCTCACCTGGATGACTGAAAATATTCACAGATATATCTGTATTTTATGTGTACAGTATATTGTTTTACACACTGGACTCGGTCTAGTCTTAGTGATAGATCACTTGGCCTTTTAGCTCAGGTACTTCAGTCAAACTTAGTCATGGCCCATGATTGCCCGTCCCTACAACTCCCTCCTTCCCTCCCTAATAAGGGGAATATACAGTATTTTGTTTTCCCAGGAAATACTCTTAAGAGGAAATACAATCAGAACAAGTATTTCTGTTCCAAGCTAGGTCAGATTAAATGCAAAATATATGTCCTGTAAAACTATTGACTTGAATGAGAAAAATTAATCTAGCATAAATGAGAACAGTATTGACAAAAATGTAGATGGTGGTGATCAGACTTGCCTAGATAGGCCAAGATCATCCACACTATTGTATTCCCAGTAATTGTGTATGTGTAGAAGGTCAGTGTAGAAGGCTGAACAGGAACACATACACACACCCCCTTCATTTGAAATATAGTGCTAGAGGAGAGCTTTACAGAGACTCCAGACCACCAGAAAGACTAAGATGTGGATCCTAGAGCAAATCAAGCTCTTTGATGACAAAACTGACACTGTACTACTTTGGACACATCATGAGAAGGAAAGATTCTCTGGAAAAGAAAGTAATGCTGGGAAAGGTGGAAGGCAGCAGGAAAAGAGGAAGACCAACACTGGAGGCATTCAAGAAAAACTTAGATAATCACCAGGCAGGTATACTTTGATTGCATTCCTGCACTGAGCAGGGGGTTGGGCTTGATGACCTTGTAGGCCTCTTCCAAGTTCACTTTTCTATGATTCAAATATGAGATAGCGTGATTCCATAAAGGAGTTTGTGGGAGCTGAGCAGTGCTGGTGATCACAGGACATTTTAGAGTCAGTTCATTCATAGGGCTGCTATAAGTTGAAGGCGACTTGTTGTGTATAACAGCAACAGACAAGGCACAGGCAGCCATCTGCTGGCGGCATTTAGCATGCTTGGTAGTGCAGTTAGCTAGAGTGCCAAATCAGAGAACTGCTTGTGGGGCTGGAGGAACCTATTTGACTCCATAATGCCTTTTTTCTCATCCATATGGACCACAGTAGTACTGCAAGATATAATACTGAGCAGATTAATAATAATATTTGTGTTCTGTCAAGCTGTTTCTGACTTATGGCAACTTCTTCTGGGGTTTTCTAGATATCAAGTATTCAGAAGTTGTTTACCATTCCCTTCTTCTGAGTGCATTGAAGGACTATTCAGATTCTTCAGGGATATACAGGCTGGCTGTCCTCCAGGAAGGCATAGTGGGGAATCTTACTCCCAGCCTAACTCACTAAGCTATATACTCATTTAGAGGTGGCGAATTCAAGAGGCATAGTTGAGCATGATTATGTTGGAATTATTTTTAACTTTGTAGGCTGCCTTTATTACGTTTAGCTGGGAGGGACCTTTCTGAGCGGGATGACTGTCAAATAAATCCAGCAGTAACCAATTGTTCCATCCCCATCTCTGATTTAGAGGAGTCATGCCTCTCTGCTTAAGTATCTTTTTTTCCTCCTTTTAAAAGTTTGTCAGCTGTTAATTTGTTAGTGAAGCTACTGTTAGAATGTAGTCTACAGGAGACTACTGGAAGTAGACAGTGTTAGTCTGTTGAGACCTACTACTGTAACCAGTCACATCTTTGTACCGTGTGCTGTTTTTGATCTATTCAGAACTGAGACTGAATGAAGCCTTTTTTTTTTTTTGTTCTTTCTCTTACCAATGTCTCAGAATGTTTTTATTGAGACTGCAAGTCCCAGTTGATGAGACAATAAGGGGGAGTCTATTCTGGGGAGACCAGAAGACAATTCTGCTATGAAAGTCCCTGCATTTCTGCTGCACAGCTAAGAGAGTTTAGTCAAAATTCAAAATTCTGCCAAGAGTTTACAGGTTCAGTTCTGCCATGTTGGGGATCTAAACTCAACTACAAAAAGACTTCAGAACCTTCTAGTGTTGGCAAAAATAAAGAGGAAGGGGAAAAAAGGAAAAATATTATGGCTCTCTAAAAACTAACAGATTTATTTCAGTATGAGCTATTGTGATTCAAAATCCACTTCTTCAGACACTTGTGGATATAGATCTACAAAAGCTCATGCTGCATTTCCCCCTGTCTCCTTTTATTTTGGCAACATGCTGAGGCAGACTAATGTACCTCGTTCTTTAGAAATTACTACAGAGGGAGTCTTACAGTGTTTGCTTCTTGTTTGTCTGGCCCAAGCTTGGGGACAAATCACACCTAAGACAAATAGGTATGTCTGCATATTAAAACATCTGTCTCTCCAGTTCTGGCTATCTTCACTGAGAAGGGATTTCTTTATTTAAAATGTTATTAAAAATGCCTTTTTATGCAAATGTGGGGTGGAGATAGGTTACTTGGCTACTGTGAAAGTGGATCATGACTAGAGATGGATGTCCCCACAGAGCTGGAGTTAACGAGGGTCTGCTCTCTTGGACTGGACCGTCCACTCATGTGTCCAGCAGCGGTGGCGGTCTCACTCATCTTTCCAGTCACTCCTGGAGCCCTGCTCTCTCCCTGCCCAGCTAGCCACTGCAGGCAAAGGGAGGGAGGACAAGTCTCCCTGCACAGCTGCCGAGTTGCTAGCCGAGCAGGAAGACAGCGGGCTCTGGGAGTGATTGGAAGGATGAGTAAGGCTGCCGCCACTGCTGGATGCATCAGTGGATGGTCCAGCCCCAGGGGGTGGACCCTCGTTAACCGGAGCTCCATAGGGATATTCGTATTCATAAACAAATACCCCCATCTCTAATCACGACTCAAAAACCATAGGGAACTACTACCTTATAGGCACCTTCCAGTTCTATTATTCTATGATTTTGTGGTTTTTACATTTATTTATATATCATTGATTTAATGAGTCTACTCTACTTGGGATTCTGAACAAAGAATCAAGCAGGATATAAAACCACAGCTTTTCCCTGTTTACATTGGGGATGTGTGACTCTCGAGATGTTGCTAGACCAGAACACGTTGGCTGAAGCTGATGGACATTGGAAGCTAACATCTGAAGTAGCACTGTTATCCTATCCAGGGATTACATAGTGTTAAATAGGACTGGCTCCAGTTCTGAGGAAAGGTGATTTTCAGTGAAGTTTTCTTTGCTTGGACAACTTATATTTGTCAGCCCCGGAACCTGGAAAACCTACCTATTCCAGCATCATAATCTAGGAGCTGTACTCTAAAAAATTAAAATTTCCAAGCAGTGGTCAGCCATTCCAGGCCATTATGGACAATGCAGTAAGTAGTTTCCAAGCCAAGCCACCATGCACTGATTGCAGTCCCATGTGTTTTTTTTTAAAGGGGGAGTAGAGTAGGCACTAATGGTGAGCCTTGTCTGGGCACTGTGGCCCTAGAAGCTGCCCAAGGATGCCACATGTGCACTTTAGATCTGGCCTGGATGTGGATGATCAAAACCCAGTTCAGGCCTTGCTCAGTTGTCACAAAGCTAAACAATTTTAGGTCAGTGGTTCTCTTTCAACTTTACAGGATTGTTGTGAGGATAAAATTAGATCACAACATCCTGGGTTATTGGAGGAAAAGGAGGGGAATACATATGAGAAATTAGTAGAATATGTATTATGATATTTCATTAACTGGTAACATGTTGCACATCAACCCCACAAGAAACAAAGGGGGTTACAATTATATATTTAATGTCTATATATATATTTAATGTCTCCTACATGTGTAAATATTAATAATAAATACTTCTCAGGCAGTATCTGCTATTAGAATTGGAGCAAGTAAAAGAAAGAAAAGAAATACAGCTAGTAGAAAATCACATCCTTTCGCAAGGTACATAAGTAATGATGGCTCACAACATCATTTTAGATTAAGAAACAATCAAAGTAGACTTGCTTATAAAGTGCCGAGTGGAATCTGAAGCATACGTAATGGATGCCATAATACCATAGGAAACATTACTCTTTTTTTGGAATAAAACTTCCAGAATACTCTAGACAGCATGGCTGGTAGCCATTGTTGGCTGGGGTCTGAAATTTCCCATCTGTAGAGATACTCAACATTAATGAAGATCAGCTTTCACCAATCCTGATTGACCCTGTGGTCTAACAGCCCCCTAATTTTGAAAATGATGGTCCCAGCATGTCATCCCTTTTCACTTTGAGTTGATTTGACAAGGTGCCTTTATGTACAAGCTCTGTGACTGTTCTTATTTAAGTCAGAAAGAAAATATAATGGTTTTTAAGAATGGCAATTTCTAAAGGTCAGCATGGGCACATTTTAGCACAGTAAGAGACCAATGTGTGGAACTAGTTGGCAGTATTCAGCTGGCACAGTTTCTTATAGGAACCATATAATACTCAAAAAACAAAAACACACTACATTGAATTCTTACATATTGTTGCAGGCTAAAAGCCCCAAGACACAAGGAATTAGAAAGCAGGTTTCATTGGAGGGTGTATCAGAAAACAGGCCAGTGTGAACAGACATGCCAAGTTATGGGCCATGATTTTTTTTTTCAGGTGGAGAAATAAACTGGAAGAAAGAAGAATGGAAACACAGTTAGTATTCCATATTTCTGCTAGAAAGGCAAACACATATGTTTTAGAAATACATTTTCTATTGCCCTTGGTATAGAACATGAGAATCTTTATTTCGCCCACATCAATTATTCTTCAGTTCATTCCTTCTATGGAAATTGAGTTTAACGCAAATTTCTCAGAGCTTTCTTTAAAAATATCTTGTTCAGAATTATTTCCCTTTTGTGCACACACACACACCCTCTCTCTCACTTCAACTCCTTTCCCCCATATTGTTTGATAATTAGCTATGAAAACTAGGACAGCTTTACTCTCTTTTCAGTTACGCTCAACCCAGGAGCCTGAACATACCTGGTCTCATCTGATTTTTAAAACTGAGTGTAACTAGACTGTGAAGAAAATGCAAATTCACTCTCATTCATTTGCTGTGAAGTTACACTGGGAAATTAGAGTTTATTGTAAATGGCTACAAGTGGTGATTGGCAAAAATATGTTGTAGTTCTATTGAGGTGCCTGTGGGTGGCGTGATTCAAAGGAACTGCCTTAACAAGCTGTAAAGGCTTTTCTCCTGTCATTTCCTCCTCTAATTTCCAACTTTGATTAGACAGCAAATGTGTGCAAAACTCCTTCCAGGGACTTGAGAAGTGCCAGACTTTGATTGGCTTGGCTATTGCGAAGCCCAGGCTTCTGGTCTTGTTGCCTCCACTTTCTCAGACCCTGAAATGAGAGAAGCTGTTGCATAGAGGGAGGTCCAGGCAAAAGCTGCTGCCAGTTGCTCCTGCTGTAAGTGATTCTGGCAAGTGACTCAGAGCTTGGAGAGGCTAGAATCAAGTGAATTGTTTTGTTGATTTGGAGCCAAGAGACAAGTGGGTTTTCTGTATCAGTTCAAATGATCACATCTCTGAACTGATTCAAATGTTGGGTAGTTTAAAAATAAAGTAGATGTCCCAGGTGCAAAGGGAAAAATTGTGGATATGGGGGGATGATTCACATTTCCCTTTGTGTTGTGAGATCAACTGGGAAAAAAAGGAATCAGCTTGCCTGAAACCTGCAACACCCCCACCCGACTCCACCCAGTTTAGCCACAGTCTAAGAGGGGTCAGGCCTGGTTAGTACTTGGATTGGAGACTACAGGTAATACAAGCGATCCAGATAAGTCTGTAAAAGATTCCTGCATTATGCCCTGGAGAGCCACTGTCAGTGAGAGTTAACAATACTGGATTAGAGGCAGTATTCAGCTGGCACAGTTTCTTATAGGAACCATATAATACTCAAAAAACAAAAACACACTACATTGAATTCTTACATATTGTTGCAGGCTAAAAGCCCCGTATATGGTAGCCCCGTATATGACTCCGTATATGGTAAGGCAACTTCCAGTGCTACTCTGTAGATGGCCCAGGCACAGCCCACCCTACCATTAGGTGGAGGGATAGTGGCTGTGTCATGCAGGGGATGTGAGTTTTATTTTTGCATGTATGTATTTTTTGGATTTCTATCCCGCCCATCTAGACCAAAGGTCTACTTTATTCATTGGGTGCATTAGTATGTGATGAGGCATACTGTTTTAATTATCTTGTTGCAATTTATTTAATTTAACTTTTATTTTTATGGTGTCTCACTTTGAGCACTAGGAGGTGCATAAATTAATCAAGTAAATAAGATGCTGAAAGGTGTGTGGAGAATGGCAGCAGTAACACTCCCCTTTCCTCTTCCTCTCTGCAGTCACTTCTCTCTCTTGGAGTGATGTGTTTGAAGCCTCTCGCACTTCGATGTGGTGAAGAGCACTGTCAAGAATTACTCAACTGCCAGGTGAATTGGCCTCTTTAAACTGGGGGGTGAAGAGAGATTCAGCTGTTAGCCTCATTGGCTTCTATAACTAGATGGTGGCATCTTATTATCTGCCCTAGGCAGAATCATGCTTTTGAGATGTTACTGAGATCACTGTTGTCTGTGCAGGACAGCAAAGTTTATATATTTTTTTAATGACTATAGATTTTTTTCTTGACTCTCAGGCACATAAGTAAATTTTGTTTAGCTTCTTCACTGACTCTCACTCAACATTCAAAATGTAAGAGATGTGGATGTCCACTTAGATGGAGTGACTTCTATGATCACAGGCAACCACCTATATTCAAACTGCAGCAAAACAGCAAAATGGGTGCAGCTGTTCATGTATAAGTAAGCCGATTCATACCAGACTCTGGCTCAGGTTCATATTGTGCTCTTTGGCAACACTCTGCACCTCAGACCCATTTCATTTTGGTACAAGGTGACTCTAATGCAGCTTCCACATAGGAAAACCATATAGATCATAAACTGACTTTTTAAAGAAATATAAACAATGAAAAATTTTGTGGTACCTTAAAAACTGTTACATTTTATTTTAAATTAATGTATAAGTGGTTCAAGTGTCACAAACCTCCTTGGGGTTTTTGTTGTTGTTGTTGCAACAGACTAACATGGTATTCTCCTAAAAATGTAAGCTATAAAGTTAGTACTTCTGTGTTGCAATGTCATGGGGTTAACATTTTAAGCCAAACAGCACTGTTATTAGCCTGTCTCCTTCAAGCTATAGTCTTATGCCTGGTTTTCTGGGGAGCAAGCCTAATTGAAAACAGAGGTAAAGGTCAAGGTTCCCCTTGACAATTTTTTTTTTGTCCAGTCGTGTTCGACTCTAGGGGGCGGTGCTCATCCCCGTTTCCAAGCCATAGAGCCAGCGTTTGTCCGAAGACAATCTTCCGTGGTCACATGGCCTGTGCGACTTAGACACAGAATGCTGTTGCCTTCCCACCGAAGTGGTTCCTGTTGATCTACTCGCATTTACATGCTTTCGAATCGCTAGGGTGGCGGGAGCTGGGACAAGCGACGGGAGTTCCCTCCGTCACGTGGATTTGATCTTATGACTGCTTGGTCTTTTGACCCTGCAGCACAGGATTCTGTGATTTAGCCCGCAGCGCTACCACAGAGGTACTAACTGCTAAATAAAACATGTCTAAGATGGTGCTGTTAGTATCATGAGTGCTGTCTGAATTCATTTCACCTTCAATGCCATATTCTAATTATGCCAAACCCTTCTGCTGCTATCAAACACATTATATGTAAGCTGCAATTTTTAAATAAATAGCTTCCTGGCTTAGAAATACCTCTTTTTATGATGAATTTTCAGCCTATCTTGAGCTTTCAATGTATTAAGCTTCATAATCCATGTTTACCAAGACATCAGAAGGGCTTCGACCAGATTTTGTAACAGTGAGCTAATTTAATCACCAGGCCTGCTATCACTGAGTTCAGAAAAGACCTTTGATATAAAGACTAAGTTCTTTATATTATGAAAGTGTTCCATTTAATCATAGAAAGGTTTTCAATTGAGTTACTGAAAAAATGAAGCCATTATAGAACAACTATTTGAAAAACCAAGTTGTTTGTCAGGCTACGTATGAACTCTTACTTTATCGTTATTATAGAAACAGGTAGAATGAGAATTTCTAATACAATTCGTCATACACATTTTGCTCAATCAATTTCCAGAGATCTTCAGCACACAATGATTCACTTCAATCAAAATGTAAAATCATGTTACTCACTTATAATTATGATAAGAATGACTGCACATACTACACCCAGGATGATCATCATCTAGAAAGAGATTTGAGGAAAGAAAAACAGAATGTTTACCCTTGCCTATGTCATTATTCAAGGGGATGCAGGCATTCTTCTAATGTTAATATTTAAGCTCTTCTTGAATACAGGAGCATTCTTTTCTAAGGTGGCATGCTTCACCTGATTAGTAAGATTCCCATATTACAGTTCTCCCAGTCTGGATACTAATTTACATATTGAACAAATCAGATAATATTTTCAGATAATACATTAAGTTAATATTCACTCTATGACATTATTTGAATTAAGCAAATTAATTTTTCCATTATTTTTTTCTACCACTCTGTTTTGGCCTTGGCATTATTTAAATAGTGACCACTGATCTGAGAGAGCCGGTATAGTGTAATAGTCAGAGGGGTAAACCTGAGAAGCCCAGGTTCAAAACCCTGCTAAGTCATCAAGTTCATTTGGTGTCCTTGGGCCAATCAACATGTCTCTGCCAAACCTACATTACTGGGTTTTTTTTTTTGAATAAAATGGGGAGGGGGCAACTATAAAAAGCAGACATATACTGTATATTGCTGGTATATTGCCACACTCAGGAGCTTCTGGTGGTATTCATATAGGATGGCTGTTGGCATTTTGCTATCACTTTTCACTGATGCCCCCAGTCCCCGATCCATAAAAATACCTCTGGAAACTCCCACAACTGACAAAGTTATCTGATCTATAGAAAGCTGCATGGGAAAATGAAGGCAAATTGCAGAAACCAGGGGGAAACAAAATGTATCATTTCCTTCAGAGAAAGAAACTGTGTGTCATTATATCTAGAAAATCTCAACTTAACTATATTTGCCATAACTGATATTTCAAAACTATATCAAAGCAAGCACCAATGCAATGTGATTGCTTTCATATTTTGCTTTAATTTCTCCTCAGTATAAATCCTTCCTCTTGATGCCCAAACTTTTGTTTCACCATTTGGATTTTATTGTAGTAAGGAATGAGATTAATAGCAGAGCCTTGAAAAAGTTATATTTTGGATTACACCATTCAGAATTTTCAGACAGCATAGTCAATGACCATGTTGACTGATGGATTCTGTGAGCTGTAATCCAAGAAAATACTTTTGATAGTCAATGCTTCCTAATTAATCCATGGGTGTAAATCTGAAATGTATATTTACTAAGTGTGAGACTTAGAGCTTAATAGGATATATATCTGAATAAGCTGTTCAGCTCATGAAAATACTTCTAAACAAATACATGCACAACTAGTTCTTTGCAAAGCAAATTATTATTTTCTTATGAGTGATTGAAACCTCCTTCTAGAAATTTGAGATTCACAAGGAACAAAAGCCCTATAAGCTTAATGTCAATAAAAACAACAATAATAAACAGAAGTTTCTAATAATTTATTCTAATAATTTATCTTCCTCTTCCTCTTTTTATTTCATTTTTCTGAACTTTCCCCTTACGTAATGCCTAGATAATGTAATTGTGTGGAAGAGGAAAATGTAACTTAATTTTTCTGGAACCCCACTGAGATTCATAATATCAAAATATGGAAAAGTTCCTTTTCCAATCTACCATTCCTATAATCCTCTAGCCCAAATACAGTCCTGTGGCTTCATTGCTTTCTAAATACTTTCTAAGATTTCAGCTAAATATTCCCAGAAGACATATTTACCCATGTATCATTGAAACCCTGTGAAACTGTAGACAGTTTCAGTAAGTGTATTAGAGAAGCACAGATGTGCTATATCACTTTCAAAAAATAAAAGAAAATGGAAACGAAAGTGGGCAGATTTTCAATTGGACCTTTAAGAGAAAAGGAAACAAAATCCCCTTTGTTTCCCTCTCCTGTTTCCTCCTACTTCTGGGAGGAAGTTTTCCATTTGTCTTTTTTTTTTAAGTGATGCAGGACATCTTCACTAATAAATGCATTTGCTTTCAGATATCTAAAAGAAGCACTGAAGAAAAAGAGAGGAATAGTGAGTAAATGAATCACATTCGGCAAGTAGGTAAAGGTAAAGGTTCCCCCTGACATTTAGTCCACTCGTGTCCAACTCTAGGGCACGGTGCTCATCCTCGTCTCCAAGCCGTAGAGCCAGTGTTTGTCTGAAGACAGTTTCCGTGGTCACGTGGCCAGCACGACTAGACACAGAATACTGTTACCTTCCCACCGAGATGGTACCTATTTATCTACTTGCATTTTTACATGTTTTCGAACTGATAGGTTGGCAGGTAAATCATAGTAAACTAATGGCTGGTGAGGGAAAATGATTCTGTTACTTAAAAACCCAAACCAGCTCTCAATTTAATTCAACAGTGTAGTCGCACCTAGATTCACTTACAACAAACAGATTATTAGTCAAAGAAACAAATTAAAATGAAAAAGAAACCAGAAATTTGATTAGACTATTGAAATAGAGCAAGACAAAATATTAGAAAATGAAGATGCAAAGACCTTGAAATTAAGCTCGGGCTGTACTTAATGAAATGACCAAATTTTCTTATAGGTCTTTTGGCTACTGACAGCAACATCTGGGAAAAGAATGATGAACTACATGAGATAACTGAATGTGTAATGCCTCTGATCTCATACAATCTCTTTCTGCAAGAGGGCTGATGAGATTCTGACCTCAGATTGCAAACCCAGCTCCCTTCTCCATCATATCATAAGAGCATAAGAACATAAGAAGAGCCCTGCTGGATCAGGTCAAGGGCCCATCTAGTCCAGCTTTCTGGCCCCATCAGATGCCTTTGGAAGCACACAAGACAACTACAGGTAGATACCTGTGTCCTGATACCACTCCCCAGCATCTGGCATTTTGAGGTACCTTCCTTTAAGCCCGAAGATTATACATCCCCATCATGGCTTGTAACCTGTGATTGACTTTTTCTCCCAGAATCTGTCCAATCCCCTTTTAAAGGCATCTAGACCAGATGCCATAATCACATCCTGTGGAAAGGAGTTCCACAGATTAACAATACGCTAGGTAAATAAATATTTCACTTCAGAGCTTTCCCTGCATGGTCACATATTGCCTTAAATTCTCATATTTTGATTTCCATATCTCCAGATTGGTCTGAATCCCTTTGGATCATTCAGTTTAGCTCCAGAACTACTGAGGCAATCTGCTTTGACCCAGACTTATAATTCAGTCTGAATCAGGTAGATTCAATGTAGAATTCAGAATGGGGCTTCAATCAGTTGCATAGCTCTAGATATTACAATGAACTATAGGTGGTTTGCTAGACATTTTGGAATTGCTTCAGGGGAGATGTATTGACACTGTTGTTTAGCTCTGAACTAACTATTACTTTGCATTCAATCCCAATTTTTTTATATTTCTTTATATTTACAGTGGTGCCTCACAAGATGAAAGTAATTTGTTCTGCGAGTAGCGCCGTCTTGTGAAATTTTCATCTTGCGAAAAGCGGTTTCCCATAGGAATGCATTGCAATGCATTCCTATGGGAAACCTCGCAAGACGAATGAATTATTTTCGTCTTGCAAGGCATCAGTCTTGCAAAAAAAAAAATCGTCTGTGAAGCACGGCCATAGAAGAAGCTGCTTTGCGAGTCACCAACATGATCGCAAGATGCTTTGTCTTGCAGGTTTTTTGTCCGGCGAGGCGTTCATCTTGCAAGCACCACTGTCTATATTTTAGATGTTTTATTTGTGGTTGGTCTTTTCACCGTAATAAAGTTTTATCTATCTATCTAGGTGCATATTTGGACAAAAAGAACTTTGTGTGCCCAAAAGGGCTTTTGCACTGTCCCATTCCCACTTTTCCTGTGTCCCTCAGGCATCCTCTGAGTGTTCTCCAACAGGAACCTGCGTTGGAAAGAGAGCTCAGGAAAGCCTCATTGCATGAAAGAACTTCCATTCATGCAACTAAGATTTATATGGGGTCCCTTCCAGCTCCACAGTTCTACAATGAGGATGAGGATGACGATGGCATCATCATCATCGTCATTATATAGTAGATGATACTATAATGTGATCAGACCAAGACCTAGTACAACTTAGTGGATTTGATTTCCTGCCTGAAATTTGTATTTTCAAGTGGAGACATAGGGAAGCAGAATTTAACATGATATGCTGGGAATCTCTCCTACATTGTGAAACTTCAGAGATTAACCTGTTGTTTTCTAAGGTTAAGCTATTAAAAACTACCCTGCCTCCATTTTTGGTTTATGGTAGAATGCTATTCATCAAGCCCATCTTCAGCATGTATCTTCACATTTTCATTAGAACTGAGTATATTTGCACCATTCCCTTGGAATAAGACCAAATTTTAGTACACTGTTACAACTATAGGCGTTTTCAGTTAGCATACCTTACAGTTTTTCCACCAGTATTTCCTCTTCAGTTTAGCCGCACTGGTTTCAAACTGTGAGGCACCAGCTTGCAAAGCATCTGCTCGGTTATCAAGCTCTGAAAGTTTCTGATCTCTTTCGAGTACTTTATCCACATTGACTCGCATTATGTCCACTACCTGAAAAGGGCACACAAAGTAATTAGTGAACCTGTTGGAAAATGCAAAACAACTTACTCATCAGCACTGGGGAAGAGGGATGGAGAAATAAAGAATACAGAAAGGATAATCTAAATATAGAATAAAATTTAGCTTACTCACAGAATAAAAGGCACGGTGTGTGTGTGTGTGTGTGTGTGTGTGTGCGTGTGTGTGCGCGTGTGTGCGCGTGTGTGTGAAAGAGAGAGAGAGAGAGAGTATGTGAGTGTACTGTACAGTTCTTATTGATATATACTGAACTTACACTGAAGTTAAGTTTTGGTACCAGAAACTCCACATGTATAGCTTCCTTGTTCAGGCATTTTTCCCTTCCATGTAAATAATGAATGTATGTTGTGGGGAGGCAGGGCAGGGAACCACAACTGCACTCTCACTTCCTCCTGACATTTGCTTATATGTACAATCTCCACATGCAGCTCAAAGTGTGGCCAAAGTTTGTGTGGATGCATAAATGTCTGCTGATGTGATTGGAGAGATCAATGGTGGCAGAGGGGAGGAAGGGGGTGGACCTTGGAAGGTTACTTTTTTGAACTGCAACTCTCGGAATACAACAGCAACTGGACTGTAGGTTCAGAGCTTTTGAACTATATATAATTCCCAGAATTCCTCTGCTAGCTATGCTGGCTTGGGGAATGTTCTTACTGAAGTATACTGTGGTTGAATCTGAAGCTGTCGGATTTGATTCAGCAAGCCGTCTTTCCTTCCTCACAGCCCAGCTGAAAGCCAAACATTAGACAGTACCAATAATTATAATTGTGGGGCCGGAGAAGAGCTTTGCCGATACTCTGGACTGACAGAAAGATGAACAAGTGGGTCCTAGATCGAATCAAGTCTGAACTATCTCTGGAGGCAAAAATGATGAAGCTGAGGGTATCCTACTTTGGGCACATCATGAGAAGGCAGGATTCTCTAGAAAAGACAATAACGCTGGGAAAGGTGGAATTCAGCATCAAAAGAACAAAACTAAATATGAGATAGAGTGACTCCCTACAGGAAGACACAGGCTTGAGTTTACAAGAGCTGAGCATGGCAGCTGAGGGAAGAACAATTTGGAGAGCTTTCATTCATAGGGGTTGCCATAAGTTGGAGGTAACTTGATAGCACATAAAAAATACAACCACATAATTTCCCCATATGAAAAACAAGTAACTCTAGCAAAGTGTTTGGTGTTCTTATTTCTGTAGTTATAGACCTATTCTGTGATAATAAAAAAGGTCAATCTAATGCTAATACATATTAGACACAGGAAGCTTTCTTATACAAAATCAGAGAACAGGTTCCTCTTGTTTTGGAATTGTCAGTACTCAATGCCAGCAGTACTCCAAGGTTTCAGGCTGGAGTTTCTCCCATAGCCCTACTCAGAGATGCTGGAAATTTGAACCTGGGACCTTGTGTACACAACATGAAGTGTTCCACTACTTGGTTACATCTGAATGCTCTGCCACTGAATGAGACAAACTCATATCTCTGCACCAAAAGGTAACAAATGGTGGTAGATCAAAATTCTAGGAAGTGGAGATAGTATTTTGTGAAAACCTGAGATGTGTTTCCTGATCTTCTTTTTTTATGAACTGAATTTACAATAAATATAAATAAAGGATTGCATGGAATGTTTGCAGACAAATACAAATATTTGATAAAAATGAACATTGAAGAAACACAAATTACTTCTAGACCCCATCCTCCCATTCCCATATCCATATCCCCCATTTTCGTTCTTAGTTGCTATTCTGTCTCAAGCACTTGTCATTCTGCCTCTGATGTTTGGCACCGTAGTTTCAAACAGACTTTAAAATGCTATTCTAGAAAAATGAAGGATTGTATAAATAATATGATGGTGTTCAACACAGGCCACATAGCCAATCATGTCTGATCACATTAAGACATTACCAAGGACCAAAGATTACTCATACCAGTGGTGCATGAGTTTGTGTGGGTGTGTGAGCAATTGCTGTGGGCAAATGAACATGTTTCTCTCTTGGAAATATTTATATATGTGTACAGAGACAAGAGTGAGAAGAGGGAATGTAGATGGGTTCTTGAATCAGGGTGTTTAATGCCATCTACAGGATATTTTTAGTTTGACATCACATCATAATATTTTCCAATAATCTCCTTAGAATATTTTTTTCCAAATAGAAAATGCACTGCCGTGTTGTTTTTAGTTTTTGCACCAGATCCAGGTGCAAATTCCAATGGAAATGCTTCTGTGCATGAATAGCACATTTTCCGAATACCACAGCCAGCATTTTGTAGGAAACCAAGCATAAAGATAGAGGTGCTGCTATTGATCAGCAATTAAGTGATTCGTGTCACTAAGAACCATGAAGTTTGCCACATGGACTGGTGGCTGTTCAGCACAGGTTAATGGCAAATTTAAAAGACTGATAATTCATTTCAGTGATTATTTAAGCCACAATAATAAAATCCATAAAAGGAAGGAAAGATGCCTCATCTTATGCTCACCTCATTCACTTGAGCTTGTGTCTGCTGCAGTCTCCGGTTGCTGGTCACGTTGGTTTGGGGAGGAGCCCCTCCTGTTCCTGGACTGGATGCACCCCCGGCACCTTGAGAAAGAGTTGGTGCTGACCTAAATTAGAAATCCGGCAAATATTAGACTCCTGTCAGAAATTCCATCAGTTTTTGCTATGGACCCATTCACTGTGCACAGCTTTGAAACCACCTCATTTAACAGTGTTACACATGTCTGTTAAATTCTTTCTACATTTTCTTCTTGATCTTCTTTACTAGTCAGGTTGGGAAGCTGGGAACAAGAGAAGCCAACTAAGAGCAAGGGTGGTTCATTGAATAGCTCGTTGGGGTAAGATTAGCACGGTTGAGGTTTCTCTGCTCACTCAGTCATGAAATCCAGTGGTAAATGTTGGGCTGGTCACTTTCCTCCATCAGAGAGTTGCTGTGAGGAAAAAGTGTAAAGGTGGAGAATTTATTTGTATGCCAAGGGCATGACCAGATAGAGAAACGGCTAGTATTTAAGACCATTTGTGGTATGGTTCAGTGGAAGCTGTTTTCTGGTGATCACATGATGCACAGGAGACTATGTACTAGTCTGATCCTGTTTTGTGTCCTAATAGGAGCTTTTTGGTCCAGCAGCAGGGTTACTCTTTTTGGGACGGGACTGGAATGATTCCTGTATGGATGTATGGGCCATTTTAAAGGAGGTCGTTTCTGGTAAAGCAATCTTTTGCCAGAAATGAACATTCTCACTGTCTGATTGCAACTTTGCTCATTTTATTTCTAGCCCATAGGTCTCCCAAAAAAGGCCTTAAGGTGACTGTGTAGCTCACTGGAGGAAAGTTAATATTTATTTGGTGATGGCTGATCCATTAGGTTAAAAGGGCACTACCCATTCAAACTCAGCCTGCCTCCAGCCAGTCCACTCTTACTTGCCTCCTTACCAGAGATGGAGGATAAGCCCCCAACCCTGGTCCCTTTCTTTGATTTGTATGTGTGAATTTTTTTGCCCGCCTATACGTGTAGGAATTTGAATACCCTCTTTTACTCTTGACTATGTCCATCATTCCTGACTCTACCCACCTTCCATCCCAGCAACCACGATGAGCATGTGCTGCCACTGATCTGATGATAAGGAAGAACTCTTCCTGAGACTCTGGGGCTCAGTGTTAAACTAATCTTGTGTAAGCAAGGTAACATGACATGTTCATAAATCTGCCATCGTTCAGAAAGCTGGCTATAGAAATATCACACCTCAGGGTATGGCCTTTAAAACATCAGTTTTTTTTCATTATTTGTATCCTAATTTCATACCTAGTCTAGAAAATAATACAAAATAAATGTGTTCCCTACACATAAGGAGTTGCTCTAGATCGATATAAGGATGAATAAGCTTTGCTAGAAGTGAGCTTCCCTATCATTACTTCTTCTGCAATACCAAATGTACTTGAGGGATGTTGTCCCAGTTATGAGAAGCAGCACAAAGATTATAACTTCAGTCAAAGTACATTGTATTTTCTTGATCACTCCTCCGAGTCCCCTTTAGTGCAACAGGTTTCTGTAGCAGGCCTGTGGTACCTCAGTGCTGGCTTTTATGAGTGGAGGTTCCTTAGCATCTGTGCTGGTGCAGAAGAGGTTCACTGGGGATAAGTGGTAACTTCTTTTTTTAAAAAAATATTGCATTTTCCCTACTTTTCTATCCGTTGCAACCAGAGTGATTTATTACAATATGTTCCATTCATTTAATCTTGTCTTATACTCTCTAACATAGTATTAATCTAATCTATTCGACTTAAATTGATGTAGATTTCATCCAGATATAAAGAGGTTCCCATTTATTATTATCCAGTCTGTCATTTAGTGTATCTGTCAAAATATCCATTTCTGATAGTTCCAAAATCTTCTCAATAAATTCCTTCTTTGTCAGTATCTTTGTAGTCTTCCACTTACTGGCATATACAATTCTAACTGCCATTATCAGTTGTAAGGTCAAGTAGGTCTTGGTTTTTTTTTCTGAGTGTAATTGGTAATGTATTCAATAAGAAGATTTCTGGTGTCAAAGCAATTTTAACCCCTAAAATTTTCTCTTTCATTTCATGGATCATTTCCCAAAAATCCTTGGTCCTATTGCACGTAGTGGTAACTTCTTTAAATGAACTATTGGGAAAGGAAAGGCAGGAGACTCAGATTTACTAGTCCATGCTTAGCCTAAATTATAACAATTGCTGCTCAGATTACACATTTGTGATGAGTGGGCTAAATTTGTATTGACATAAATTTCTCTTTACCTATGGACAACAATCCCACGTATTCGAGAATTTGGCACACTGATTTTTCAGAAAGGAAGTAATTGGTTTTCTCTGCTTTCCCAGAGGCTAGAAAATCCCACTGGTAGCATCTTTGCATGGCATATTTCTGACAAGAGATGACTGGGGACTTACTGGTGTGGGAGAGGGAGTATACCATCATAACTGTTTCTTTGGAGATATTAAGCATGTAGGACTCAAGCAGACTTTTAAAGTGGGCAGCTGATAGTTTTGTAGCAGGTTTGCCCAGCTGCATCCCCATTTCAAACAATTCTAGCTAAAATTTCCAGCTATCAGAGTTTCTCCATCTCTGTGTTCATGCAGCATTTATTTACTCTTTGTCCCCTGCCACACAAGTGGCACAAATAGTTTCAGACCGCTCCGCAGGTAGAGGGAAACAGTCATTAGATCTCACTGAGAAAGCATTGGCTAATCATCTTTGACCATTAGCAAGCCATTAGCTTAAGCTAACATTGCCAACTCTGTCTTAAAATACCAGGCACTTCTATTGTACCAAAGTGTATCCATTGTTGCTTGCATGAAAAGGGACAGAAAAAAAATACCCTTAGCATTTTCCCCATTTAAATTGGTATATTCATGAAGTGAGAGAAATATTAATATTCTATTACAACTTGTTTTTCAAAACATATATGTTCTAACATCTAGTTAATTGCATTCAGGAGAAGCAATATGTTTGACACCCACACTTAAAGGAAACTCCCTGAACTCTGGGAAATGGGTAATTAACAACAAGGTATTATAAAATAAACATGCTTGGGCGCTGCATTCTACGAGTGTACCTGACATTTAAAAAACTTTGTTTCATGTGCATTTTAAAGTGAGATGCTCTCCCATTTCCAGACCAACTGATAAATAGCAACAAATTTATTGTTTGGATTTCATCATCAAGAGGGAGGGGCCAATCTAACCTGCAGAGGGAGGACATTCCACAGTTTGAGAGTAGCCATAGAGAAGGCTCATGTTCCCACCAAATGTGCCTGTAAAGGCAGTGAGACTGAGAGAAGGGCCTCCCTGAAGATTTTAGGAACTGATAAGGCTGATGTGGGGAGATATGGTCCCTCAGATAACCTGGACCCATATTTTACAAACTTTCTAGGTCATAACCAGCACTTTGAATTGGCCCCAGAAATGGACTGACAGCCAGTGAAGCATTTGTAACCAGGGAGTTATATGCTAGGTCAGCAGTCTAGCTGCAATGTTTTGGACCCATTGAAATTTCCAAGGGCAGTTCTACATAGAGTATATTACATTAATCCAAGGGGGAAGTATCTAAGACATATGTCACCTTAGCCAAATTAGACATCACTAAATATGGGCACAGATGGAGTACCAGCTTTAATAGTGCAAATGCACTCCTGGCTCCCACTGAAACTGTGCATCCAGGGTCAGAAATGAGCCCACCTAAACTGCAAACCTGAGTTTTTAGGGGAAAATGTTGTAAGCCGCCCAAAGACCTTTGGGTAGTGTGGGCGGCATATAAACTAACTAACTAACTAACTAACT